TGGTCTGTGTGAGTAGGTTTCCTATACACTTCAATGTTTAGGCTTCCATCTCCTTCCATGCTCACCAAACAGTCCAGAAAAGGTAGTCCTCTCTGGTGAATTTGAATTGACATTTGAATTGAGAAAGCTTCCTGGAGGGGAAGCGAAACGTCTTCAAACCTTGAAAACCAAGTCCAGTGGATTGTTTTTAAACTTTTACAGAAAGCAAAACTATTGTCTTCATTATTTAGGTTATTTAAGGAGGTATTCCCTTTGATCTTCTCCTCCATTTTAGATGTGATTAATCTATCTCTGTAACAGGGATATCTACCAAAGGTTGCTGGAATTACACTGCTTCATAGCAGCAGGTTGAGCCAAACATAATGTGCAGGGTCATCTTTGAGCATGCCATTTCACTTTTCTTTTACCAGTTCACAGCAGTACTTCCAGCAGGCCACACTTTCTCTACTCCCTTTTGAGAGATGGCAAGCTCAATTCGTGGCAGTGGCAGTGTTGTGACAGTTCCGGTGGCTCGATCTGACAGTTCCGGTGACAGTTCCCGTGGCTTGTCGGCCTGACAAGGCTTTAGTACTGGCTGGCTTGGCCTATTACTGGCAGCAGCCACTAGACTGACAGTCTGTCACATCAGCTCCACGTTTATGGTCATTGTTTCGGCTGCTGCAGAAGCAGTCGAAACATTTCGGCAAATAACTTATTTATAGTATCTCTAAGTAGATTGTTTTTTAAATGTTGTGATGTTGTTGCTGTATTAAACTGTATTAAAACTTTTATAAAGTCACATTTACTTGATAGAACGAAGTAGTTTATTTGCTAATAAGTGCCCTCTGCCGGCACCGGCCTTTACGCTGCCACTCTGGTGGCAGTCTCTGCCGGCATCGGCCACTACGAGCCACTCCAGTGGCAGTCTCTGCCTGTACCGGCCACTACGCAGCCACTCCTGTGGCAGTTTCTGCCGGCACTGGCCACTACGCAGCCATCATAGTGGCAGCATATTGGCAGCGGCCACTATGCTGCCAATGTGATGACAGTCCGACTTTTCTGCCAGTAGGCTGCCAAATAACAATAAATTATTTGTTCAATAATTTTTTTTTTTTTTTTCTTGATGTTTATCAGCAAATAACTTATTTTTTTATTTAGTTTTTTAGTTTTTCCTTGCCATCTTTTGGTTAATACTTTATTTATAGTAGCTAAAGTACCTCTAAGCAGATAATATTGTGATGTGATTGCTTATTAAACTGCATTAAAATTGTCATAGAGCCACATAGTTCATCCGCCAATAAGTGGCCGGTGGCACTGCCACTTTCTGCCACTAGGTGTCCTTGGCTGCTTCTAACTAAAATACTATTTTAAAACCTTGATGTTATTGCTTATCAACACGTGTGGAACCTTTAATGAAGTGACTGCATTTACTTTGAAAGCAATGGCCTAGATAGTGCTTTCTATGTATTCAATGCTGTAAGGAAAGAGGCATTACACCCACTGCTGGTGTATTACACAGAATTCTTAGTTAATATGACATACATTGCCATTCTGAAAGCACCTGGCCATGAGGGTGTCAGATGGGAGATGAGAATAAATTAT